ATGTTTTGAAGTGCCCACTATCCCTTGGTTTGCTTGCTCTTTTTCTTTCTTTTCTTGCTTTTTTTTTCTGTCAAACCCACAAAACCTAAAATACTTTGAATGCTGCCTAACTAACCATTTGTGGAGATGTCACAACACATACCCAAGTATAATAAAATCTTGTGCAATCCACGTTTTACAGATGTCTGTCCTTCTGAAGGGAAAAGTGGGGGAGGGGAGAGGTGTCTTTTCTTTTTCCCCATTTTCTGGTCTTGCAGGAAGCCTGCCCATCCTTTTGCAATACCAAATTTGTATATAAATGGAAGTATGAAATTAGGCATCTTGAAAACTCCCATTTCCCAACCACAGAGAAATGAAGAGCATAGCTGTGAGTGACCAGAGTCAGCTATATTAGATTCTAGACTTTTCTCTCAGATTGCCCAGTTAAGAGTCGACAAACAACTCGTGGAAAAAGAAACTGTCTACAAACAAGTTCCCCGATCGTGAGCTTCCCAAGGCCCACCATGAACTTGGGTTATGGACAGCACTTCAGGACAGAAGTGAGTGCTATCCACAGGACACGAATGTGATCACATTTTTATATCTCTTCTAAAAAGTGAGGATTTCTCAAATACACAAAACACATTATTCTCTGAAAATGTATCGCCTACAGCTCCAACAAGTCATCAGCTTTGCCTGGAAAATTAAATCCATATGAGCTAGACAAGATCCTTAGTTATGAAGTACCTAAAAACTACTTGTGTTATCAGTAGAAGATTAAATAACCTACAAGATTCTAGAAAAAGCAAATTCATATCCAATCTGGCCCCAAGGTTTAGTTTAGGATATATTTAAATAAATAAAATGGCATCTTTTTGTTTTTCTGAATGTTTCTGAGTTTGTGTTTTGTACATCAAACACTTTCTGCTAAGAATTTTGCATGTCAAACCTCAAACACATTTCAAAGCTTTTTCTTAAAAAAAAAAAAAAAAGCGTTTGCCTACAAAATAGAAAAAAGAAAAAGGTTAGTCTAGTAAGGATGAGTAAAAAAGGATTACCTTTAAAAAAAAAAAAAAGTCACAATGTAAGCCTGGCTATGTAGCTCCTGCCTATAATCCTAGCTACCCAGAAGGCTGAGATTTTAGGATCAAGGTTCAAAGCCAGCCATAGAAGAAAAGTCCAGGCAAATCTTATTTCCAATAACCAAGGTGGGGTGGGGGGAGAGATGCAAATGGAGGTGTGGCTCAAGTGGTAGAGCTCTATCATAAGAGCTAACCAAGAGCACAAGGCCCCAAGTTCCAGTCCTAGTACTAGCACAAAATGAAGGAAATGTGTGCAATGTTTAGTTCCTCCTGTGCATTTTATCTGTGAAGTGATCTAACTTATTTATGAGCAGTTCAGTGAGGTCTTCCGTCAAAATCACACTGTCATTTGCTACTGGGTGCCTTTTATAAGTGATCACAACATTTTACTACGGATTGGAAATAATATAGAGGGAAAATAATCTGGAGAATGTAACCAACTTAGAGGAGCTGTGTCCTCAAAATAGAGAGACAGTTAATGAACACAACCCCACTACTAGCCCACCAGTGCACTGCGCTAGTAAGTATTATATAGTAGGTCCAGAGATCTAGGAAAAACAAGACCACAGAGATAGGACGGGAGTCCCAGGGCAGGGCAGGGGGGTGAGCCAGCACAGCCAGAGGCTTGAATGGAGAAACGGTTGAAACAAACGAGCTTTAGGAACAAGTGTCAGTTGATGACCCAGCCCAAGTTAACGGTTCTCTGCCCAATACTACTTCAGCCCACAGAGAAAGACTCATCAGCTGTCCTGACTAATTAAATACCGCACTAATTAATGAGCATCACCAAAAGAAAACAAAATGTCAGTATGCGATGGGAAAAATTTATATGCACACAGAAGCACAAAAACACCTCCAAGGAGCTTGTAGGCAAGTATCTGAACTTGATCTTTTATTTTTAAAAATATCTAATATTTTGGAGATATACATGTTCTAACAGGTTTCTAAATGCAAGGAGGGGGAAGAAGAAAAAGAGAATGAAGTTTTAAAGTGTGCTGGAGAAAGAGGAAAAAAAAGATTCTACCAACGTTGATTTTTAAACCGTCATTGCTACCAGTACAGAAAAGCAAAATCAGATAAAATAAGCCTCAAATGGGAAAAGGAAAAAGTTATCCATTTCATCTTCTGCTTAATTCTTGGAACTACTCAAACAACTTACATAGCTACAGGAGCCAGGAGCATCTTTGAAAAAGAACAATTTTCTCTACCACCCCCTCAAAAAAAAAAGGAGCTTCTTTAAAAATCAACCTTTTTACTAGGAGAGAATGAGAAAAGTAATGACACTGTCCAAAAAGAAAGGTATTCATGCAGGGTACTGATGGCTTATGCCATAATACTAGCTACTTAGGAAGCTGAGATCTAAGGATCATGGTTTGAAGCCAGCCAGAGCAGGAAAGTTCTGTGAGATTCTGACAGTGCTAAGGACCTGAGGTTAAGCTCAGGACAGGAAAGGAAGGAAGGAAGGAAGGAAGGAAGGAAGGAAGGAAGGAAGGAAGGAAGGAAGGAAGGAAGGAAGGAAGGAGAGGAAGGAAGGAAGGAAGGAAGGAAGGAAGGAAGGAAGGAAGGAAGGAGAGAGGGGGAAAGAGGGAGGAGAGAGGGGGAAAGAGGGAGGAGAGGGGGGAAAGGAAAGAAAGAAAGAAAGAGGGAAAGAGAGAAAGAAAGAAAGAAAGAAAGAAAGAAAGAAAGAAAGAAAGAAAGAAAGAAAGAAAGAAAGAAAGAAAGAAAGAAAGAGAGAAAGAAAGAGAGAAAGAAAGAGGGAAAGAGAGAAAGAAAGAAAGAAAGAAAGAAAGAAAGAAAGAAAGAAAGAAAGAAAGAAAGAAAGAAAGAAAGAGGGAAAGAGAGAAAGAAAGAGAAAGAGAGAGAAAGAAAGAAACAAGGAGATAGAGAAAGAAAGAAAGAAAGAAAGAAAGAAAGAAAGAAAGAAAGAAAGAAAGAAAGAAAGAAAGAAAGAAAGAAAGAAAGAAAGAAAGAAAGAAAGAAAGAAAGAGAGGGAGAGAGAGAGGGAGGGAGGGAGGGAGGGAGGGAGGGAGGGAGGGAGGGAGAGAGAGGGAGGAAAAAGAAATGAACTCATTGCCTGACATGTGTAACTGTAACCTTTCTGTACATCGCCTTTATAAACAATTAAAAAGTTCTAAAAAGAAAAAAAAATCAACCTTTTCATTAAAATAACAATAACAACAACAAAATCTATGCTGGGCACTGGTGGCTCATGCCTGTAATCCTAGCAACCCAGCAGGCTAAATTCTGAGGATTATAGTTCAAAGCCAGCCAGAGCAGGAAAGTCCACGAGATTCCTAGCTCCAATTAACCACCAAAAAACCGGAAGTGAAGCTGAGGCTCAACTTGTAGAGTGCTAGTCTTCAACAAAAAAGACCAGTGACAGTGCCCAGGCCCTGAGTTCAAGCCTCAGTATCAGTACAAATAAATTACTAAGTAGATAAATAAATATAACATTTTTTTCCAACACTATATTCTGGTAGGTAGGGGAGCAGAGGCTGGGACTTCAGGTTATAGCCAGGCCCTTTGATCTAAGGATTGAAGAAACACTCCCCCATTCCCCTTTTGCTGAGAGCCAGCTAATGAAGGGCTGAAATTAGCTTTTATCCTGCACACTTTCTTGAACAGGAAAACATGCATTAATCAGCTCTCCTCACACATCAGTCATCTGGCTAATGACCTTTTTGCCTTAAAACACCACTGCTTCTGAATGATGTGGGAAAAGGGAGACACAAACCAATCCCTACCCCCTCTCTGGAGCTCAGTACCACATCTGGATTGAGAGCTGAGAAGGTCAAGTGCTAAGTCTCCATCCAGGGAAATGATGTCTCTAATCAAGACCTGGAGCTCTGGCACTTCAGAATGAACTTCATTATCCCACAACCAATTCGTTTATTAGGTTTTCTTTTCTTTCCTTTTGTTTTAAACTATAATCAAACCAGAAATGAAACTCAACTCTTCTATGTTTCGTTTAGATTCTGTCTTTGGAGAAAACCGATCGTTGTACACTTGGGCTCAGAATCCTAGTCAATTTCTTAAACTTGTTAGGGCTGGGAAAGCAGCCTCCTGTCTCTGGCTTACTGTTGAGAGAAAAGAATAGGATCATAGAAAAAAAAATCTTCCATATTAACAAATTTAGAATTGATACTTTTGTTTCCGTTGGTAAGTTTGGTTTTAATAAATCATTATTCAACACGGGAACAGCAAAAATCATTAAGCCAAAATCATTAAAAGCTGGGCACTGGTGGCTCACACCTGTAATCCTAGCTACTTGGGAGGCTGAGATCTGAGGATCAAGGTTCAAAGCCAGCACAGGCAGGAAAGTCCATGATATTCTAATCTCCATTTGACCATCAAAAAGCTGGAAAGAGAGCTGTGGCTCAAGTAGTACAGCACTAGCCTTAAGTGAGAAAGCTAAAGATCATACCCAGCCCCTGAGTTCAAGCCCCAGGACTTGTACTCATGCACATGCATGCACGCGCATGCATGCGCACACACACACACACACAACACACACACACACACACACACACACACACACACACACACACACACACACATCACTGAAAATGAGGCATAGCTCCCATTGAGGATTTTTTCTAAAACAACCTTTTTGCAGTTTCCATCCAGCAACTCTCCTCTAGAAGAGTCTTCCCCTTGTGTGAAGCAAAATTGATCCTCAGGAACACCACAAATGGACCACCTTGCTGAAGGCCACTGTAAAGGCCTGTAACCACTTAGATGTGTAAGAAAATGTCTCTCTCCAGAAAAGTTATGGATAGAATCAAAAGTAGGGGGGAAACGTGCAAAGAAAAATCATTACATAAGGCCAACAAATCCCTACAGCCTAGATATGTACATACACACACTCAAGACACACACACACATTCTACTCTTTTCCTCCTCAGAATAAGGGCCACTGGCCTGTCCTGACACACTTACGGTAATGAGGTTCCACATAGCCATTCCTGGGGTCCATAGCAAACACAGTCCCACGGTAAGGGACAGAGGGCTCAGCCAGGTGTGGCAGAGACCCATGGATCTCCTTCTTGATCAACGAAGCTCTCTCATCGCTGGATGTCGATGGCTCCTCACTGAGTTTGCCGAGCCCCTGCTCACTTTGAGGCTGCATTGTGATTGCGTTTCTTCTCTCTCGATGATGATGATGGTGATGGTGGTGATGATGATAGATCTGTCCAGGATTTTCATCCTCTAAAAACAGAGAAAGGAAAAGACTTTAGAAGCCACCTGAAGGCACACTCAAAAACTACATATCAATTAGCCCTCCTCTCCGTCTCAGAACAGATAGGTCTCTTTCACTTCAAGATAACTTTGCAACCTGGGATAGATTTTGCATACTAAAATTGTCAAGGAATGAGGCTTCCAATTACAAGTGGAGGGTGAAGCAGAAAACGAGCCTGTTACACAGTGACACCAACAGACAAACAGGTGAACAGCTCAGCTGAGGGCTGACTGCGGACAAACAGGTGAACAGCTCAGCTGAGGGCTGACTGCGGGCCAGGCTTCCCTCCTGGGCATGCCAGTGTATTTCAGTTCTCACGTGGGACTGAAAGTTTTGCCAGCCTCAGCCTGTGGGGCGTCCAGCTTCCCCTTTGTCTGAGGATCTGAGGAGAAGCCCGGCTACCCAGTGGGGCTCTGGATGGCTCCAAGGGGTGCCTGGCCTTTGTTCCACAGAGAATGATCTATCAGAAAGTAATACAATTGGGTTGGTGGGGCGGGGGTTAGTTTCAAGCATCTGTAAACCACAGCAAGATTTAACAGAGCTGGAAACGACCACAGGTGACAGGAATTATTACAAAACCTACAGAACCTCCCCGTTGTCTCCACGCCACATGGCTATGTGTGGGTAAGTAGGAAAGGTAAGAGCAGTGTTGCTACCTGGCCATGCTCAGGTGGGGTTGCTAGACATCTCTCCAACCACATAAGAAACAGCTGGAAGGAAGCCCATGTGGCATGGTATTCCAGAACCCTAGTAGGTCATCCCCTGACAAGAAAACTGATCTGTCCACTGGAACCATATGCATGTGCCAAACAAGCTGTGCATTTAGGTGACCTTCCACACCAGCAGAACAGTGCTAAAGGACCTGGCATTGCCTCCTCAGTCCTCATCCTACAGATCACCACACTTCCCATATAAATAATACCATTACTGGACATCTTAGTGAGCAACATTCAAACACATCTTTTTATACTTCTCTTCAAGGGAATCCATAAAGCAGATGACTATTCAAACTCACCCCGCAAAAAAAAAAAAAAAAAACAGAAAAACTATGTGTTAACACTTTTAGAGCACTGTTCAAAGTCACACAAAATTAGAACTGTGCACAGAGTATGTAATAGCAGAAGCTAAAAGAACAACTCTTACATTGTGTTGACTAAGATCTTTAACCACTTAAAACCAGGAGCTACTCAAGTCTTCCTGTCCAGGTGTAAGATTTGAAAAATAAGCAGTGAATTGTTTTAGCCTAGCAAACACTCTGTAAAACAGAATAAGTGATGAGGTAGATTTCAGTCCTTGTAGTGAATCTGCTGACAACTGCAAGGTAACTGTGAGATATTATTTTACTATTGCTTGGTGCAGACCCTCAGCTACAGCCTCATAATTAAATGGAAAATTACAAGTTTAATCTATCAAGCCTCAACTGCAAATGCACCCAAAATAGGCAGAATCCCACTTTTTTTTACATTAATTGTTCCAAAAGCAGTTCAAATCATGATTTTGGTATTTTCAAACTACCTCAAAGCAAAGAGAAAGAGACAGAGACAGATACGAGGAGAAAACAGGGAGAGAGACAGAGACAGACTTCATTCTTATTTTCCTTTCTGTCTAACAACTTAAGCACTGGTCCACTTTCTAGTTCATTAGCAGGCTATAGAAAGAGAGCTTTGCCTTAATGGGTAAGCAAACCGGTGTCAAAAACACTAAAACTTTTGTGGGTTTTATAAAAATTCCTATAACCTACAAATGGCTCAAGTCATATTTTCCACTAATTTGTGCTCTGTATAAAACGTTTATTTCAAATTTCCACCTGAAGTGAACTTGGAAGGGGAAAGTGAAGATTGTATGGAAAGGGGTCTGTGTTAGAGGCTAGCCAGCAAGCTCCCTGCCTCCATCCCTCCCGCCCCCTTCTTCCCTACAAGGGGGCTTGGCCATGTAATTAGCATTCTCTGGGAAAGATGAATAGCCAAACCCTGCTAATCTGTTCCAGATTTCCTTGACTTAATCTACCTAGAAGAAATTCACCTTTCTTCCCTGAGAAACTACATTCTTGTTTTAAAAAGAGAAAATAACAATCAGTTCAAAATGATCTTGTAATGAGCATTTGAATCCAACTTTACCAGTAACAGTATCATTGATATGGCCAGACCAAAGTTCTCCTACCCTTAGACACCTCCTCAACCCCACACTTCCTAGGAGATCAAAGTAGGGGGCAGGAGTGGAAACTGGGATGTCTGTTAAGTGACTTTCTGAGGGGTTGTTTTGGGAGGTTGTGGTGTGTGTGTGTGAGAGAGAGAGACAGACAGACAGACAGACAAACTGAATGACTGACTGACTACTGGGGCTTGAACTCAGGGATCTTGCATGGCTTTTTTGCACAAGGCTAGAGCTCAACCCCTTGAACCACACCTCCTCCTCTGGCGTTTTGCTGGTTAATTGGAGATAAAAAAGCATCTCACCAATTTTTCTACTCAGGTTGGCTTCAAACTTCCACCTGCAGATCTCAGCCTTCTGAGTAGCTAGGATTTCAGGCCCAGCCTAAGTGATTTTCTTAATGACAGTTACCTCCAAACGGGTGTATTAAAAGTTATACAAGAAGTTACCATGGGGCTGGGAAGGTGGCTCACTGGTAGAGTGCTTGCCTCACATGCATAAGACCCTGGGTTCAATTCTCAGCACCACATAAACAGAAAAAGCTGGAGTGGCGCTGTGGCTCAAGGGGTGGAGTGCTAGCCTTAAGCTGAAGACCTCAAGGAGAGCACCCAGACCCAGAGTTCAAGCCCCCTGACCGACCAAAAAAAGAAGTCAAAGTTCAAACATTTAATACAGAAAAAAGTTGTCACTTCCTCAGTAAAGTGAAGTGCCAATGGGTTTGGGTTTTTGTTTGTTTTTTTTGAGGGAACATAGAAACTTTGAATAGATGGTTTGCTTTTATAGTAGTTGGTTCTCTGTCCTTTTTACCCTCTTTAAAAAAAAAAAAAAAGGAAATCCAGCAGGCAAATACTTAGGCATGAACTTAGCTTTGAGAACTGACAGGCTTTGAGGTCCACTGAGATCATAATGTGACAGTATACACTGCTGACTACCCTCAGACAGGAGGCTTGAAAACATTCCACATAAGCAAAGCGGCGCCTTTCCCAAGCCATAATATTCCTGCCTGCGCTCAGAAACTTAGCCATCACTTTAGCAATCCCAAAGACCAACGCTGTCTGATCTTCTTCAATTCAGCCAAGCTGCTCAATGAAGTTTGAGGATCAGAGCCGACAAGCTCCGCCAGGCCAAAATTATTGACAGAAACAAGCTGCCTGCCATGGTAACAAGGAGAAGTCCGCTACAAAAATGTAAGCAAACAGCCCAGAGCTCCGGGAGCAAATGCCAATGGACTTTTAACATCCAAACACCAAGCAACTGCTTGAGCTGTTTCTGCTTCACAGTTGCAAGCTCGGGGAGTCAAACTGAACCCCACTCGAAACTTTCAGGAAAAAATTACTTTAAATACTGTCATCATAATACCACTTGGCACCTCCTACTTTCTGTCTCTCGGGGCTCAAGTAGATATAAATGGATTCCTGTGTAACTACCACCCCCAACCTAGAGCAAAGCATCAGGTTTTAAAATCTGTCCCCAACTCATTCAAAAGCAACCCAGAGTTTGATGCATATGGGACCAGAAACCTGGTGAAAATCCAAAGCCAGCTCAGGGCTACGATGCTTTAGATGTTTAGAACAAACATCTGAAGAAAGCAGTCACATCACAATACATGGCAGAACTTGAACACAACACATGGCTTCTACAAATCCAGCTCACAGCAAACTTCTAACAAGAAAGAGACGAATTCTCTGCCGCAGAGCAAGCGAGAGGGAAAGTGTCAGAGCATCCTTTTTTTTTTTAATGTAAAAGCATAACCCTCCCAAGAAGCACTGATAGAGATGCTGAATGGGCTGCTTAGAACCCACAAATACACGTTCCCCTTTTCTCTCCAACACAGATGTTTAACCAGCCCTTGCAACATCCCGCTACTCCTCTCTCATTCCCAATCCTGAAGCTATGGAAAAAAAGGTTAAGAAAACAGAAGATACTTACAACTCAGTCTCCAGAGCCAGGCACCCCTAGCTACTACTCAGGAGTCTGAGATCTGAGGATCGAGGCTCAAAGCCAGCCCAGGCAAGAAAATCTGCAAGACTCTTATCTCCAATTAACCACCAAAGAAGCTGGAGGTAGAGCTGTGGCTCAACTGGTAGAGCCTCATACTTAAACGGGACAACAGCTAAGCCCTAAATTCAAGCCCCAGGACTGGCACACTCACACACATACACACGCACGCACACATACCACCTCAAATCACCAGGCTCTGGCTACTACTTTAGGCACACTTCTTTTGGTGATCTTTCTCAAGCTCTAGGAACATTTTCTGGACCTCATCTACCTCTCCCTCCTCTTTGCCCTCCCCTCCCCCTCCGCCTTGCCATCCCCCCTCCCTGCCCCTCTCCCAGTCACTGCAGCTAGGCTCCCATTAGAGGAATTAAAAGTGGTCAGAGCAACACTAAATTTAACAAGCTCATTAGTATTCTTTCCAAGTGCTTAAGAGTGAACTCTCCCCATTCAAGCGGTTCTCGCCAGCAGAAGGGTCAGGCGGCTAATCATTAAATCAAACTAATGTCACCCTATCACAATCGGCCCCAGAGAAGGAGGGTTTATTATTTCAGTTTATGCTAAATAAACGGTTTTACAAATGGTCCCCAAGCAAGGTCAACAGCAGCTTCAATTACAAGACAAACTTAACAAGAGTTGTTCTAAAGCAAGTACTCCTTATTGACAGGGACAAGGCTAGGCTCCACAGACGGCCCCTAGCAGGATTGTACAGAAATGCATATTGTAAAATAAAGGAAGAGGTGAGTTTTATTTTATTTTATTTTGCCAGAATTTGCGACTGCATAACGATTCTTCATTCACCTCTCTCCAACCAGCTAGG